ACATCTCCTCTGTTTACACTGGCCTTTCCCGCTTCTCATGTGTTATGCGTATCCTTCTGGGTTAGCTCAGGATCTGCCTAACCAAGGGCAAGACCCTGCCTGGAGCCCCACAGGCGCCCTAGACAAGAGCACTGAGGGGCTGGAGGCCCTCTGAGGAATACTAGATTTTGGAGCCAGAATTCCTGCAGGTGGCAGCTGCTTCCTTTTCTTTCCACTGCCGTTTAGTCCGTGTCTCTTGCTAGTGTGTAAAAAGGCCTGTGGAAATGGGTTTTTACTGTTATGGGCAGCTGCCCAATAGGAAGTGTGCTGAGACCACTGACTCATTTCACAAAGGCTGCCAGTTGGATTCCAGCCAGTTCCCTGTGTCACTACAAATCCCAGAAGCTTTTCACTCCCTCCACTTCAGGCAACTTGAATTTCTGAATGAAGTTAGGCCAATGGCTTGTGGAGCGGTGTGTGTTACTAAGCACATTCATTCTTTGCTTCTCCCCTTTCCAGGGTTGGAAGAGACTGACACGCTGAGACCCCACGGTGATTCCTGGCATTCAGCTGAAATGGTGAGAGGAAGACCCCTTGTGCCCCCCAAAACCCCAGCCAATCCCCCCAGAGTACATGAATAAAATGTACAAACTCAAAATCATGCAACCTTCCACAAGCAGAGCTTTTACCCCAAAGATGAGAAGTGTCGGAGACTCCATGCTCCATGGACTTAACCATCACTTCCTGTGGAAGGCACTCAAATACTCTGGTGATAGGAAGCAGTGCAAAGCAGTAAGATAGACAGGCAGGTAGACAGATATACTGCGAGGGGTGTAGGTTCTGCTTCTTTCCCATGGATCTTTCCACTGAAGTTCTTAGAGTCTTAAATAAAATGCAAACCATGCAAATGAAAACAGACCAACTGTGAATCAGTACAAATAACTGGCATTTTAGAAAATGAAAGAACCACTGAGGCCTTAAATAATAGATGAGGCAGAGAAAAATCCACAAATAGACATGGAAAAGAAGTGCAGTTTTAACACAAGATGGAGACCGATTACCAAGTCATGGCTGCTGCTGCAGAGGATACAGCATAGCACAAGAAAGCTAACCTTGTGCCGGGGAGGTGCAAGTGAGTTGCAGAGGGTAAGTACTTATAAACTGGCCGCTTACAATAATCATAAAGCCTGGTCTCTTTTCTGCGCAGGAATCAAACTTGTTAAACAGAAGTAAAATGTTCTAACTTAAGGGCCTGGTTCACTGCTGTGGTACCCCACTGGAGTTACATTGGTGTAAAACTGGAGTAACGTAGTGGTGAGCCAAGCCCCCAGAAATGTAGAGAAGAGGGATGGAATGGTGTTAGTCATTTAATAGATTTCAGAGTAGCAGCCGTGTTAGTCTGTATCCGCAAAAAGAAAAGGAGGAATTGTGGCACCTTAGAGACTAACAGATTTATTTGAGCATAAGCTTTCGTGAGCGACAGCTCACTTCATCGGATGCATTCAGTGGAAAATACAGTGGGGAGATTTATATACACAGAGAACATGAAACAATGGGCGTTACCATACACACTGCAAAGAGAGTGATCAGGTGAGGTGAGCTATTACCAGCAGTAGAGCAGGGGGGAAAACCTTTTGTAGTGATGATCAAGGTGGGTCATTTCATAGTCCAGTTACAAGAGTCTAATGTGAGTGAGATGAGCAGAAAGGGAGAGTTCCCAGCAATGTTTGGAAGGAGACATTAGCTTTAGATGGAAATATCCATTTAATTATTTCTCTAAAAATAAGTTCCAGTCAGTCACCTTATGGCCCATTTCTGCAACAGTTAGTCACTGTGAGTAGCACTTAGTTTCACTGGTGTCAGTGGAACAGTTCACTTGTAAGAGTGATCATTACCCAGACTCAGCCAGGCTTGCAGAATTGGCCGTTAACTAATGCTGATGCCAGTGGTATTGTAATATAAACTACAACTCTGGAAAAATGATGATTTTTGCGTCTCTTTTGTGCCTATGTATAAGATGTCACAGTGGATTCAGCCAGTCTGAGGATCCAGAGAGCATAATACTACTGTCCTTCACATTGCTTTCCAGCTGGGGCCAGTTATCATTCTGGAAATATAAACACAAAATCTTTCTTCTGGTCTTCACCTGCAACACCCGCTCCCTGATGCGGAATCCCTCTAGAGCTGCCTGTGTTATGGTTTGGAGTATGAGTCTCTAGCAAACATTTAAGCCTTGGGCAGGAATGCTTAGCAGAAATATGAGATGCTGTGTAGACTTCTCTTTGAGTTTGAAATCAAATTTCAATCACTTTCAACAATGACTATTCAGCAGCAAGTGCACGTAGGGACAGACTCTGCTCTCGCACTGGTGTGAAACTGGAATTACCCCATTCAAGTCAATGGAGTCTCTAAGCTATTCCTCCTAGTTGTTGAAAACTGGTGTCAGTTATGAAATGACAATAGGTCAGCTAGACACGAAGAAGCAATTAATGACTTTCAATTTGGAATTCCTACAGAGTAGCGTTCTTTGTCAGATAATTAAGAACATTAAATTCCCACTCTTGGTTCTGGTTGTGTTGCTATGTTCCAAGAAAAGACAGAAGCAGCTTGTTAGTGTTTGACTTGTGATCTGAAAAGTTAATCCTAAGAAGAGCAGCCCTGAGCTGCATAGTGACTTTCCTGAAAAGACTGAGGAACTTGGTGTGGCAGGAATTTAATACCCAGAGTGAGTCATTCATTTTTATTTCTTGTTCTTGTAACCAGAGCATTGTGCTTCACCCTGATGAGATCATTCCGTATCCTGAGAGCACGGGTCAGATGGCAGCAGTGACATTTCACACAGGTGTGAGATCAGACTCTAGGTGTCTCTGTTGGACCGTATCACCTGAAGCAGCATGCACACACTTCCTGCACTCCACGCTGTCTGAAAAAGACTGGTGACTACCACCCTTTCACTGGGGGGAGGAGAGCAGGGCCAGAACTTGACGCCCTCTAAGAACGACAATTTTGTGTTACTAAGGGAGTTGGTCAAAACTTGGAATTTCTGTTTGGTGGGAAATGTCAGCGAGCTGGAGATATTATGCAAACAAAACTGGTTTTGTTTAAATAGTTTTATCTGATGAAAATTTGGTTCAGTGAAAATTTTCCAATCTGCTCTAGTTGTAAATTGGTTAGCTGCTGTCATGCCCCTCGCATGTCACTTGGTACAGTCCCAGTCACCCAAGTGTGACACAGATCTACTCTCCCTTCACTATTGTGGCTGACACGTTTGACTTCAGCTATAAAGACTAATGGGTCTATCAAGGTTCCTTCCCCACTTTGAACTCTAGGGTACAAATGTGGGGATCTGCATGAAAACCTCCTAAGGTTACTTTTACCAGCTTAGGTTAAAACTTCCCCAAGGTACAAACTATTTTACCCTTTGCCCTTGGTTTTCCACTGCCACCACCAAACGTTTCTCTGGGTTCCTGAGAAAGTGTTGTTTGGAAACGTCTTTCCCCCCAAAAAATCCTCCCAACCCTTGCACCCTACTTCTTGGGGAAGGTTTGGTAAAAATCCTCACCAATTTGCATAGGTGACCACAGACCCAAGCCCTTGGATCTTAGAACAATAAAAAAAAGCATTCAGTTCTTGAAAAGAAACACTTTAATAGAAGAAACAGTGAAAAGAAAAGGATCACCTCTGTAAGATCAGGATGGTAAATACCTTGCAGGGTAATCAGATTCAAAACATAGAGAATCCCTCTAGGCAAAACCTGAGGTTACGAAAAAGACACACAGACAGGAATATTCATTCTATTCAGCACAACTTATTTTCTCAGCCATTTAAAGAAATCATAATCTAACGCATCTCTAGCTAGATGACTTACTAAGTTCTAAGACTCCATTCCTGTTCTGTCCCCGGCAAAAGCCTCACCCAGACGGACACAGACCCTTTGACGTTCTCCCTCTTCCCAGCTTTTGAAAGTATCTTGTCGAGGTTATACTTGTCGAGGAAAGTATAAGAGAGGTTATCCTCGCTTCTTAACCCTTTACAGGTGAAAGGGTTTTTTCCTCTGGCCAGGAGGGATTTAAAGGTGGTTAGCTTCCCCTTTCTATTTATGACAGGGTCGGAGCTACTTACACCACAGGGAAGAATCCCGCACCCTCCTCGCTGTCCTGCATGAAGAACTGTCTGCGTCCTCCTCAGTCCGTGTCTTTGTTCCGCGTGTGGGCCGTGGGGCGTGAGAGCCCCAAGGACACTGCTGCCTGGAAGTCGCAGGGACAAGCACCCCCGGCAGCTACCTTAGCCGGAGCGGCTCGGGGGACGGATACGGCCACTAGCCGGACCGACAGGCTGCGGGGGGCGGACGGGGAGGCCGGTTACCATTAGAACACGAGCTGTAACGGAACGATCGAGGTGACCCTGAATCACACCCCCGCAGGGGCGCGCCCAGGTGACGAGGCCCCCCTTCTCTCTTTCCCCTGAGGCGGCGGCGGCTACGTTGACACTGAACGCCCTGCAGCAGCGGGCCTGCGGCGGCCCGGCTCCGGGACAGCCTCTCGCTAGGGCGGGGGAGGGCTTCTGCCGCTCCCGTGGTTAACCCGCCGCCCAGCGCCGTCTACACCAGGGGTTCGGTCGCCTTAACTACGTCGGCGGGGGGGGGCGGGTTCCACCCTGCGGGGAGACGACCGGGGCCAGGGTGAGGTCCCGCCACCGGCCCGGCCCCCCCCGCCACCGGCCACGCGCTCCCCCCTGAGGGGCCGGGCGGGCGCCCGCCCGCGGGGCGGTGACGTCACACCGGGGCGGGGGGGACGCAGCACGCTGCGCGGGGCGGTGACGTCACACCGGGGCGGGGGGGGGACGCAGCACGCTGCGCGGGGCGGTGACGTCACACCGGGGCGGGGGGGGGACGCAGCACGCTGCGCGGGGCGGTGACGTCACACCGGGGCGGGGGGGGACGCAGCACCGTGACCTCACGCTGCGCGGGGCGGGGCTCCTGGGCGCCGGGTGGGCGGGGCCCGCGCCGGCCCCGCCCCCCATTCATTGCCGCCGGCCGCCCGAGCGTCCGCGGCCGCGCCCAGATCCGCCGCCATGGCCGCGCGGGGCTCCGCGGGCGCCGGCCCGGCCGCCATCCAGCTCAGCAGGTGACGGGGGCGGGGTCCCTGCGCCGCCGGCCCGGGGCGGGGGGAGCCTGGGCCCGGGAGCCATGGGGGGGGCACCGCACCCCACCCCGGGCGTGAAATGGACCCGTCCCCCCCCGCCCCTGTGTGTGTGTCTGGGGGGGGGCGGCAGCCCCTTCCCCCCCGCAGCCCCGGTGTGTGTGTCTGGGGGGGGCGGCCCCCCTTCCCCCCGCGCAGCCCCGTGTGTGTGTCTGGGGGGGGCGGCCGCCCCTCCCCCCGCGCAGCCCCGGTGTGTGTGTGGGGGGGGGGGCGGCAGCCCCTTCCCCCCCGCGCAGCCCCGGTGTGTGTGTCTGGGGGGGGGGCGGCAGCCCCTTCCCCCCCCCCCCGCGCAGCCCCGGTGTGTGTGTCGGGGGGGGGGGCCCCTTCCCCCACCGCGCAGCCCCGGTGTGTGTGTCTGGGGGGGCGGCCGCCCCTTCCCCCCCCGCGCAGCCCCGGTGTGTGTGTCTGGGGGGGGGGCGGCCGCCCCTTCCCCCCCGCGCAGCCCCGGTGTGTGTGTCTGGGGGGGGGCGGCCGCCCCTTCCCCCCCGCGCAGCCCCGGTGTGTGTGTCTGGGGGGGGGCGGCAGCCCTTCCCCCCCCGCGCAGCCCCGGTGTGTGTGTCTGGGGGGGGGGCGGCAGCCCCTTCCCCCCCCCGCGCAGCCCCGGTGTGTGTGTCTGGGGGGGGGGCGGCAGCCCCTTCCCCCCCCGCGCAGCCCCGGTGTGTGTGTCGGGGGGGGGCGGCAGCCCCTTCCCCCCCCGCGCAGCCCCGGTGTGTGTGTCTGGGGGGGGGGGCGGCAGCCCCTTCCCCCCTCCCGCAGCCCCGGTGTGTGTCTGGCGGGGGGGGGAGCAGACCTTTCCCCCCTCCCCCAGCTCCTGTGTCCGTGTCCCTATGTGTGTCTGGCGGCAGCCCCTTCTTCCCCCCCTCCCCCTACAGCCCCTTTGTGTGTGTCCGGGGGGGGCAGCCCCTTCTCCCCCCCACACACAGCCCCTGTGTGTGTGTCCGGGACAGCCGCTGCTCTGGTCCCAGTGGCTCAGACCCTGGCCCAGGGCACTGGGCGGCCCAGGCTGGGCACGGGCGAGGGGCAGCCCTTGGCCATGGTTCCCGGGCTCAGGAGTGGGGTGAGTCTAGCCTGGGCCCCCTGGGGGCGAAGCGTTGGGACCCGGGGGCGCGGAGCCTCCCTCAGCCCCAGAAACCCTGGGAGCCGCGCTGGTGCCCGCGGAGACCGCGGGCCGTGGCGGGCCAGGGGCCTGTAGCCAGTGCCCTTCCTCCAGCGGAAGGGGAGCCGTGGCTGTGAACCAGACTGTGGTTCCTTCCACTCTGCAGGCGATGAGCTGGGTGGCTGCAGACAAGTCGGTTCACCTTTCTGCCCCCCGCTTGCCCAGTCCGTGCTGGTGAGCAGAGGCATGGGAGGTGTTGGTGAGCGCAGAATGCGAATGGTACAAACCGCTTCCGTTGCCCTGCGGTGCTTGTCTGTAGTGACTGGGTGCCGGGACCAGGCGGTCACTGCCTCTAATGCGTGTGCCGAGAACGTTGTCAATGAAAACCCTCCCGGTGGCCAGATCAATAGACCCAGTCTGCTAACTGGAACTCGCAAGCTGGACGAATCTGAATTGCTCTGGCGTCTGTCTCCTGGCATCTTTAGTAATGTGCACATGGGAATAATTAGGCTTTAAAAACAGGCTGCAAGAGGTTTCAGCATCCTTTGGGGGTATAGTAATCTATTTATTCCTCAGGGGCCTTTATCTAAATGCACTTATGATCAGAATTCAGTTGAGAAACTCACTGGTATAGCTTGTTGTAATCCACTCTCTCCTAAATTATGCTGACTCACTGGATTTCATCTTCTTGTGCTATTAAGAGGTCTAGCTAAATCCATGTTTGTAAATCTATTCTAAATGTTTGTAAAGCACCTAGCAAGGTTTTGAGTTTTAGATAATAATAAATACCTGATCTTCTTAGATGCATAACATTTCTCCTACGGGGTTTGGTCCCTTATTGAACAGAATTCCTCAGGAGGCCCTGTTCTCTCTAATGTATCGAGAGACTGCAGATTGAGACCATACCTTCTCTAGCTCACTGTCTAGGATGGAAGGAGGAGGGGGTAGTGTGGCAAAGGCGTGGCTACTTCCTTTGCTATTGTAAAGTCTTGATGAAGTTGCGTGACTGTAGTACTTAAAGAAAATGCATTTTGTGTAAGATGGTCTCACTTTGTGTGTTTACAGTTAAATCCCATTTGGTATATGTTGATGTTGACCCAGTTTGGAGCATGGTTTTGTTTCTGTTGCTGTAACATTGCCATAGTGTGGCCTAACCTTAGGCATTGGTTTGCAGCTGTGTTCCTGAAGTGGTCTCTGCAGGAGTCTGAGGGTGACTAAGGTAAAACCAAATAAACATTCTTGCTGAGCTTTGATTTAAATGCCTCTTGTCTTGGTATCTAAATGCCAGGCAACTAAATGGCATCAGTTTATAGCAAAAACAATGCTACCTCTCCCGTGGGGATGCTCCTGTAGCTGATCTTGGTTTCCTAGACCTGGTTGCTTCTCTCCCTTCCCTGTGAACAGGATTGTGTAGATCTGTGTGGCAGTGGTTACAGGTGTTCCTGCCAAGAGGCTTTCTTGAGAGCCCTTTATGGTGGGGAGTGCTGCGGTAGATTTAAAGCAAAAGACATGCCCACCATGATCAATAGAACTTGCTTCTCACTAAAGACTGACCCAGTTCAGCATGCTCCATTACGTTGTCCCTTTCTTGCTCTTGCAAGGTTTCTTCTTAGTGCAACAGTGGTGAAGGGCACTATTCAGGGCTCTCTTTTTCCATGATCTGGAAGTGGAGCCATTTCACTTCCCTGGTAGAATAATCAAGATAACTGTTAAACTACAACATTTGTGTGTTCTTGTTTTTAAGGGAAGATTTTTTTTTTAAACCAAATCAAAAACAAACATGTTCTCCCTGTTACAGGGAGCCCTATCTGACCTGGCATCCTTTCATTAATTCCTATTTACCAGTGGACTATTGCACAACTGAAGCAAGATGCCAGTGGTTAGGATTGGGATGGCTGTCATGTACTGAACTGCTCCCAGGAGCTGGGAAAATGACTGACACTCCCTGCCCCAATTGCTAACAAAACCTAAGCAATATAGTGCTGATGCAATTGAAGGAAGCCAGGGCATCTGCTGGGCAAGTACTGGTTATAAGTGAACTTTGCTGTTAACTGAGTGGGCCAATAATTCTCTGATTAAAGTAGACATGAATGACTGTGAGGTCATACAAATGAAAGGGAACCCTGGGGAGTATAAATTAACTTATGAGGTACAGGTTTGGTTGTTGATAGTGAAGTTGGCTGAGATCTTTATAGTGGCACCTGCTGGTATAAAGAATCCAGTATTTTCATAAGTTTGTTTTCAGATCAAACACAGCTGGGGAAGTGAGAACGAAACTGATCAGGATGGGTGAAATGCAGCAGTATCTCAGTGGCAATGTACCTGCTGCACTTTCGCCTTCCTTGCAGGTATTGACAATGTGGCACAGGGAGCATTGGAGGTGAATAAACTTCTAGTGTAACTTTTGCAGCCACTAAGCTGCTGGCACATTCTCTGCGTGTTGGACTCCAGGCTTCAGCTGCAGGTGTTGAACTTTGTATCAACCCTCTGCAGGGGGAGCCTGTCAATAGCTCTTAGAAGCAGGGAGGGTGGAGAAGCCTTTCTTGGGTTAATGCCCTCCGTGCCAAACCATGCTCGTCTCTACAGCGCATTACAAATCTCAGGGGAGTTGCTGCTTTACACACAGGCATTGTACTGTTAAAGGGTCAGGGTCCATTTCGAGTCACAGATGAGGTTTGGGTGTGTAAAATACACGATAACTTTTAATAAAACTGTTTGCTAATGTCCCCTGCAATACTCACCCCACCAACGTTGGTGGTGAGTCTCTAAAAAGTGAAACCAACTAATCCGCATTCTTGGGTAACTCTGCGTTACGTGTAGAACATAAACCAGTGGCGTCCTAAACAACGGAAAAGGACTTGTCCTAAAAACTTGATTTCAGCAGTCTAAGGTGAGCAAACTTGTTTTTAAGAGATTTTTAACCTGGCAGTGCTCCTTCTTAACAAAATGAATGGCTCTGTTTGACATTAGGTAAGTTGGCTAGTTTTGGAGAGGACTTTCGGTAGGCTCTGGAACGAAATGTCCTGAGTCCCTTATTGCCCTTTGCTGCAGGTTTGGTGGGCATCTTACGTTGGAATAAGACACGTACTGGACGTGTATGTGCAATGGCAGTAGCTGATGGAGGCTAGGTGGAAATGAGGATGGTAAAGTAGAGGGCCTGCTAGGAGTGCAGATGGGGTTTGTGAGGATGTATAGTAGGAGGCTAGCTTTCCATCTCTGCTTCCAGTGTCCTGCAGGTTAGCTTATTTGCGTGGCCACACTATGAGCAGCATTTATGTTAAAAGGCCAGGGCCAGACCTTCATCTCCTGTTGGAAAGGGCGGTGGGGGGAGATGCATTAAGCTGCGCTGGTTCAGCGTGTAGTCTGTCCGTTCCTCGGAATGGTATAGATGCTGCTCGGGCAGTTGGCTTAAATGCAGTGACAACAAATACGACTCTGATTTTACTCTGCATGTGGAGGGAGGCTGCTCCCTCCCTGGCAGGTATCACTGGGGAAGCAGGCTGAGCTAATTCTTTAGCTGCAGTACGGGATACTAGTGCCCTGTCTGTCCAGGGTGGTACAACAAGTGATCTTTGTGCCCTAGACCGGAACAGATCACATGCTGCTGCTGGTCTCGCTTGGTAAGTAGTTTTAATTCTAGATGATCTTTTATTTCAACAAACTTCCCCCTATTTTTAATAAGATGCCCCAAGGGTGAAAGATACAGTGGCATAGCTAGGAGTGGAAATTTGGAGGGACCCCAACTTTTGGGTGGATGGGCAATGACACACTGTGCTAGCTCATCTTCTCCCCTGATGCTGCTCCCTGTTCCTAGCCCTGGTGCTCCCGG